AGTTGAAGAAAACAAAAATTAGCCACTGACATTCATAACCTTTATTTCAAACTATGGCTAGAAATATCATATAACCTGGAAGCAAAGAGGTTCTTTAGAGGAAGGGGGGAACATGACTAGATAATATTAGATAATAAACTAAAAATTATCACAATCAGGGCTTAGGTTTTTGAGTTAAGAGTGGCTTTTATTGCATGAAGGCACAATAATAAAGTATGAAAGTACCCTATTGAACAAGTTAGCACATGGATTCAATAAAGTAATTAATTACATTTGTCTTGCTTCAGATGCAATAAATAAAAGGAAATGATATTTACCAGGGTTTGTCTTCTCAAGTTGATACCATCGGTAAAATGCTCTTTTCTTCTGTTCACTCAGGTCTGATCCCTGCTGCAACAGCCAATGAGAGATCCGGCTCTGACTGATACCTATGTAGAAAGAGAAATAGCTTTTGGAAGGCATTGAAATTACAGTGAAGTTAATGAGGGTTCTGTTGGTTCTAGGTTATTGGGTGCTTTATTCTCTGTGTCACTCTGTAAGGAAGTTGCAACTTGAGCAAACTCCTTAATATTGGCCTTCTTTGAAAAGGCTAACTGCACTGGCTAGGATATACTCAGAATTTATCAGAGGTCAAAGAATTTTATTAACCAAGAGTTGACAGTGGCCTCTAAAATTAATCTCCAAACCAGGTCCATGAATATGAGACAAATGAAGATTCCTAAGTTATAGTTCTTTGTCAGAATTGATTATATCTGTGCTCCTTTAACTACCAATGCCCTCCGTGCCACCCCAGTTTAGAATATTAGAACATTTAACAGATACTGAGGGGAAAAAAAAATCAAGTCAGCAAGTTTTGCTATAGTAGGGGCTAGAAATAGAAAGGTCATTGAAAATACTGTCTTCAAGAAGGTTTTTGATTTATTTGTTAATTCATTTAGGCATTTTTAGACTTGTTATACTATTAGTACAAAGTAAGAATTAGCAGAGTTTTAGAGTTATGCTGCAATATGACCTCAATAGCTAAAGACATTTTTCCAACAGATATACAGATATACTTTCCAAAAAACTAACAGAATACAAAGCAGTTTTCTGCCATCACTAAGAAGTTCTTGACAGCATTAGAAATGTGAAGAATCTCCACATCTGAACATAAAAGAGCATGTCTAAAACATACTAGTATGAGAATCACATGCTCACTGGTCATTATAGCTATTCCAAAAAATGAATGATTCAGTATACAACTGGCAAAAGCAAAGAATACAGTAAAGACAAAACTGTCTTGTAAGTCCACAAGGCACTTTCCAAAAGACCATCCAGCCATCATAGAGGGTTACCAATTTCTAAAACTGGAAATTACTGAATACCACTTGTGCCAACACCTGTCTAAAGCTGTAATGCTCGACAAGGAAGAATGGCTATCATGAAGTAATCACACCCCTTACTTAACACGAGAAAAAGCAGGAGGTCCTGCAATCACATTTAACTCATTAAAAGCAAGCCCCTAGAGTTTCACACACTTAAAAATCTACTTTAAAAGAAAATCTGAGAAAATGGGGAAGGGGAGTGTTAAAAGGAAGACTGTGAAGCAAGGTCCTCTGACTGGAAACATCTATCAATTGCAAAAGGCGAAATTCAAACAGTTTTCCAAAACCTAAGTGATTACATTCTCAAGTAATGCATATAGCAGTCTCCCAATGGATTGAAGATCTATGTGATGCAGGTGCTGGCAGCTAGCACTGTATGCTTGTTCTAAGAGAATGCAAATTTGCATTCTGGATAATTAAATCAGCTGTGTTTAGCAAACATTTCACCAGAAGTCTAGTTTCAGACATTATTTTTTATACTACTTTTTAAAGAGTGAAAAAAACAACCATTTGCCACCATGAAACCAAAATTGATTTTCATGTCAACAAAATAAAACTATTTTACATGGATTGTTTATATTGGTACCATATTACTCAAAAAAAAGAACAACAGGAAATTTG